AAACAAAAGAAAAGCGCAAAAGATTAAAATATTCAACCGCGAAAATATAAAGATAAATGGAAAGCAAGCGCTGAAAAGCAGCCACTGGGAGTGCATTTAAATCTTATCGAAGAAAACTCCAGCCACCTGAGCGCACAATATTAATGGAGTTTCCAGCTCGCTTCTCATATATACATACATATATATATATATATATCAAAATATGAATTTTTCCTGACTTCCAATTTTTTTTTGGCTCTCGCTTATTATGTAAATTCTTAAGTTTACCTTTTTGACTGATTTATGTCGCTGCCACTCTGGCGAAAATTTCATTAAAACTGCAATGCAGCCACTCAGCTTGATGAAGTCTCTTTCGTCCTGTCTAGCGCTTTTATCTGCCCATAATGCCTGCCAATTGCATTTGCCAGGACCTGGCTTATCTGCTCCTCCGACTTCCTCTGCGCTTCCTTATCGGGCTGTAATAAATCAACCCATCTCTCTCGTCTTCCTTTTTTTATCTGCTTCTAACCTTAGACGCATGGCATCATCGTGTCAATGTCGCTGGCAGTTCTCCTTTTTCTATATATATATCCGTTGAGTTCAGGCTTTTCGACACATCATTTTCTATGTTCTAGGTGACGACAGCGAATGAGAAATTTCCCTTATTTCTACCCGTCATTGATTGAGTTTTCCTCGCTTTATTTCTTTGCTCCGAAGTGCCATATCATCAACTTGAGTGGTTTGAATAGAGTTCATAAGTTTATGCTGACACAGCCGAGTTTCCAGCTGCATTTGTCTAATGTGGCAAGTTTGATTAGACTCTCAAAACTTGCCACCAACTCGGCAAGTTTTTTGAGGGCAATTAATTTAACATAAATGTTTAAACTGGGCTTTCTTCGAAGAGATGATTTGATTAATATTTGCATTTGTCTTAAAACTTTTCCCTGGGACTTATGACCCCGTGATTGTTGCTGTCTTGCATCAAATACGTTTTTGTGTAGACATAAATTAAATTTCGGATGAATGTGTGAGCCTGGAAAATTACCATAATCGCCTAATGATTGTGTTGAAATGCTGGCCTAAGACTGGGATTTTCCTAATTAAGAAATTTCCAACTACGGAGTGTCCGGCATTGATAAGAGCCGACTAGACAATGCGGCCACGTTTTCAAACTAATTAGAGTTAGCAAAACCAATTTGGGTCGGTGCATATTAATTAGCTAGTCCTAATCGCATTAGAGGAACTGGGCATTTCGGTGCTGAACTCTGGTCGAAATCAATCAGATGGCTTGAGCTCCTCCTGAAAGTTTTATCAATGCTGCCAGGCTCTTGAAATCCCGATGCATTTTGCATGTCGTCAGCTATCCGTCTGTGTCCTGCATCCTGTCTGTGGCACTTGGCCTGCTCGTTTATTTAACACTGATTGCCAATGCACACAGAGATTTTGGCAGCACGGAGCTTTACTTTGGCCCCCAGCTGGAGCCGACCTCAGCAAACTCTGAACTCCGGGTATCCAATAACCTCTCGACCCCGAGTACCTCCCTTTATGGGAAAATATTGTCTTTAAGCGCTTTTGGCAATTGCTTTCGAGAGTAGATCTGCTCCCCTTTTATCTTTGTTCGAATGACATCTGCCGGGAGCGGCTCCGAACAGTTTCAATTAGTTGAAATCTTTCACAGATTCCGGAAATAGAAATTCGTTTATTCAACCCCCATCAAAAGCATTTAATTGACAGCCTGACATACGAGTAATGAACTTTGTTATGGGTTGAGCCCCACATAATAGAGCACTTAAAGCACTGGAGCTAAATTTAATGGTTATTCATTTCAATTTGCATGGCCAAAATATTTTACCAAAAATTTGCATGCCAATCATATGCGCTGGTTAAAAAAAACACAAGTCCCGGAAAAATAATAAAAAAGGCCGCCAACCGCAGAACATTAATTAAGTTAATTTATAGGCATGGTGCAAAATAAATGTACGAAAATAAAAACATTTATCAGAATGAAATTCCGTGCGCACCAAAACGTTGCATAATTTATGAACCCAAAAGATATCATCGCATAGTTTACGTCGGAAAATTCCATTACATATTGATCACTTGACTAAGCACAAAAATCCATTTGGCCACAGGAAAAAATGTCAACTGGAAAAGCAGAAGGTTGCCGGCCATTAAATGGAAACCCCTTCAGAAAATGGAAAAAGTAACTTTTCAATCAACTTGAGACGGGTTAGCGCCAAAGCCAAAGCCAAGGGAAAAAGGTTAAGGAAATGTTGGCAAAAAAAAAGGGGACTCGAATTACTGGCAATTTATAGAGCTTAAAATGTGGGACCGGCCAATTTAATAAGGGTCGGCAAGAGCAGCTACAAAGGGGATCGACTTGCCATCTTTAAGAACATAACTCTGTACATCGGAGACGGACTAATTGAGGCGGCTCCCAGGGCAGACAAACAATTGCAAATCCACTTCGATTCACTTAGAGCTGGAGATGAGCATAATAATGATGATGATGCGGATCAATGGCACTCGGCAAATCAAACTAAAGTTGTTTGCTCGTTTGCCCGGCTCCCAGCCAATTGTTATGCAAATAGCCAAGTGCTTTTCCCACTCTCAAGCCGTAGGAGCACAAATTTTTAAAATATCCCACACTCTCAAAGTTGTGGGAAAATAGGAAATGGCAGAAGGCAAAAGGCAAAAGGGTAGCAAAGTTCAACTGAGGCAGGCCAATGGGAAATGGCAGTGGAGATTGCATTAAATCAATATGGTGGTGGTTCTGCATTATGTGGTCTCTGCTTTGGTCCAGGTGGTCGAGGGTCCGTGGTCCTGGCTCTCAGCTCCCAGCACCATCGTCCTTCCTCGTCCTGGGCCACAAATCAACATTTGACTTTTGCATAAATTGCAAGAAGCAACAAAATTGCTGAAAAGAAGAAAAGTAATTTTCTCGCTTTCGTTTGCAGCTGCAAAATTGTGCACCACTGCTCCGCCAGCACCATTTTCCCCTCCTGATTCCGCCCCATTGTTGATGATGCTCCTCCGCCTTTTCCACCGTTCCATCTCCGGCAGCTCCAGTTGGCCGTTGATGCCTTTGGGAGCAGGAGCAGGAGTAGGAGCAGGAGCGGACAGACTTCTGTGGTTCGGCTGGTTGGGTTACCTGCACATTTCGTTGTTTACCCTCGTTGCTCCTCATGTTAATAAGATGGGCGGCAATTTGTTTGCCACTCAACTATATACACAGATCATACACAAGAAAAAATTAACAAAAGGACATGGGTATTTAAATACGCTTCTAAAAATAGTTTGATCATAATATTATAACCTCTTTTTCCCAAACACTTAACATTTAGTAGCAAATGTCTTTTATTTTAACTTTAAATATATTCCTTAACACAAAATTCTTAAAATGTAAAACAAGTGATATCTTATATGAGTTTGGTATATAATTAAGTTTGAAAAAGGCCCATAAACATTCAAAAAATTTTTCATTTTCAACTAAGATAAAAAGTCTACTTTTTACAACTAAATATTTATTTTAATAGGAAATATACCAATATGCTTTTCAAACTAAAAATACCGACAGTCATAATTCTCAATGGCATTTATCAATTTATCTTAATGAGAAATATAATTTTTCTTAGTTCTAAAATATAAAAGTCCGCTAAACACTTTTCAGTGTTGAATTCCTCATTCATACGCAAATATATATAGTCGCCTTTTTTTCTTAGAAATTGCTGTTCTTTCATTTCTTGGGAAAACTGCCAATGCATCCGACTTAATGCGTATATGGTTCGATTTGCATTTCATTACCTGTTCAAGTTGATTGCAAAAAATTGCCAAGAAAATGGTATGTAAGCTGCCGGAGAAGTATACCTAAGGGTTATTTTTCCGCAACGGGTGGTCATGACCCCACCTGAGAAAAAAATAAAAAAATGTTAAATTCGGTTCAAGGGAATCGGGGTAACCAGAGTCCAACGATGCCAAACAAAACTCAACACAATCTGTGCCAAAAGCCGTTGCAAATCGAGCTGAATCAAGCCGAATCGATGTGCGAATGGGCAAGGACAGCAACAACAACAGCCAGGATACGACAGCAAGGACAAACAGAAACAGGAAATGGACGTTGTGTGCTCAAGTTTGTTTCCGCTTTCCTTCTTTTGAAATTCAATGCTACGCTTTTTGTTGATCTCGTGCTGAAAAAACGCATTGTAAAGTGGTGTGTGTGTGTGTGTGTGGATGTATAGATGTGCAGGTATGTGCAAGGATGTGTAGGTACCGGAGGCGTGGGTGGGCGTGTCACTGTCCAGAGCAGCTCTTTGTCGTTGCCGCTGCAAATGCAAATTTGTTCAAAGTTTATTGAGTGCACGTGACGGCAAACAAAAGTGCCAAGTTTCCCTTCTGGGCTCCCTGTTTTTATAGTTTCCTCCCTCACTCTACCTAAAAATTTTGAATTGCAAATTTCTTGGCCAACTTAAACATACTTTAAACATACCTTTTTATATGTCTGTAAGTCGCCTTAATGAGTGTAATTTGAATAAATGGGCTACCAGCTTATATGCTAATTTTTTCACCAATTTAATTACGGTCCTGGGTCAGGTGAGAAGTAAAATAAAGGACCAAAGTTTTGTCCCACAAATTTAAGCTTACAAGTTTATGTGGTAGAAGGGAAGTTAGCTGTTTTTCATCAAACATTTTTAAATTATAATTAATAGGACTGTGTTTTTGTTTTACTTTGAAAGGTGCATACAATCTGTCTTGGGCTTTAATTTTTGGCAAACAATTGTATTTTACATTTTTTTCGTTTTATTTCTTTATATATTAGAAATATTCAAAAATAAAAAATAAAAACAATTTATTTGTTAAACCTTAAAATTCTGCTAGCCAATCCTTGAAACACCAAAATCCAGAAAAAACTTCTTATTACATTAAACGAAACTTTTTCCAAATTGAATATGAAACTTTTCCATGTCAGCTCGCCTAAAAATAACCAAATTTAACAACCAGCAAATCTATTTGCATCATTGCAGGCCAAAACCGAACCAAAAAGACCATACCAATCTCCAGATAGAGAGAGATAGAGGGATTGATGGAGAAAGAGATGGAGGGAGGCTGAACCTAGCCCCGAAAATCGATAAAATGGTAAGTACCCGCCCAGTCGCATTTATTTTTTGGCTGCTTGCTTATTGCAAATGCTTTTATAAATTTTATGACTCAATACTTCCATTGTGGCAATGGACGATGACAACGACAAGAACGACAACGACGACATTTAACCTACAGACTTTTGTGTCAGCGCTGAAAAGATGGCATTGCATTATTATGCGCCATCCAGCGAATCTAACCGACTATAATTTTAAAGCCACAAAATCCGAGAAATGGGTTGTGGTTCTTTTGCAGAGAATAAAGGGTAGAGAACGGGGGCCAGACAGTCTGCCAAAGTGAATTTGTGGCTCTGAATCCAAATTGCGCACAAGTCGAGCTTGAGTTTGCAAAGGCGAAAAAAGAAAAACCGAATCGGGCAAGTGGAAAATCGAAAAACTCTAGTCGATTCAGCTTGCCTTCTTTTTTGATTTTTGCAACAATGTAAAGCTAAAGTGTAATGCCATGTATACAAGTTGGTTAAGTTGCAGCAAAGTTACCAAAGTTTTTTGAAAATAATAATAATTTGATAGATCTACTAATTTTAATTAACAGGAGTTAATATTTAAAACAAAAACCTACTACTACAATTTTGCAAAAAGAACGTTATCCCTCAATTGCCCTTTTAAGCAGAGCTAACATTTTATTCCAACGACTATTTTTGTCAAATTTAATTACCCACATGCGTAGCCTTATACTTTTCCAGTGAATGTCAAAAGTTTTGTAATTCAATTGATGTTGCTGCCCCAGGCGGAAGTTGAAATTTCAATCAGCTTGGGCACAAAACGAAAATAATCTGCAATAAAAATGTTTTCCTTTAATAAAAATTCAATTTCCTTCAAGCGACACATGTTGCCGAGTTGGGAACAGGAAGCAGGACTAGGGATAGCTGGATAGCAGTTGGGAAAGTGGGTGGAAAATGGTGCAGGGATGGGGGGATGTAGTGTCTGAAGCTGGATCCAGCTGAACTGTCAGCCGGATGCAGTTAGGTGAAGGCATCGCAACGCATCGGGCGACCTCAGAATGAGACGGGGCCACAAGGATGCTGCTCGGCTAACCCCGCGGCATCCACCAAGTCCGACCACTCCTAACCTTCAACCCACCCACTGCCCCGTGGAATGGAGAACGCGACTAGAAATGTCTTTCAATTTATAATGACAAAGTCGATGTGAGTCCTCCCACATCTCTACTCTTTTACCGTCCGGGTCTTGTCTGTTGCATTCGCAATTCCGCATTAGAAACGGAAATGCTGCGCACAGTGGTGCTACTATACAATGAATGAGATGAAATTTAAACAGTCTTATATTGATGAATAACCCACTGTGAAAAAATGTTACACTTAAATAAGTCTTTTTTTGAATCTGCTTTACGCTGTCCTTAGATATTTCCAAAGTTTAGCCATAAATTTAACCATACGCCAGGGAATACTTCAGATGTTTTAAAACAAAACATAGGGCCTGGCTTTTATTTTTAGCTATCTATCACTAGGCTAAAGTATTTTCAAGATTTTATGCGATAATTGTTTTTAATTTTCAATATTTTGGAATCCACTGTGCCACCACAGCTATAATGTTGTCTAAAGTCCCCTCAGCTCCTCGACCTCTTCCTTATTCTATCGTTGTTGAGCTCACAGACTTTGCGGAAATGCGGCTCACATTTTGCCATCGGAGATCGAGGGGCATGCTGCGGTGGCAAAGGGGGCAGATGCTGCGTCAATGGCAGCGACAGCATCCAGGGCAACAGACACGTCGATGATTGCACATGGCTTAAAGACCCACCGGAGCCAGTTACCCGGCCACGCCCACTCCCACTATCACGCCCACTCCTCGCATCCTTTCCTCGCATTAAAAATACAACGTCGGCAGATACATCAATTGAAAATGAGGCAAGGAAAGGCAAAGGCAAAGGCAATGGCAAAGGCGAGTCGCATCTGCGGCGGACAGCAGAGAACAGGAATCAGGAATCGGGCGAAAGGGTGATATACGGACGATTGGGGACAGGGGTTAAGGGATAGTTACTCGTACTTCCCGGACAGGTTGGTTGCCCACTGGATGTGGAGATGGGAGGATGGGAGGATGTTACCAAGGGCCAATGTTTGTCTGGGCATGACAGCAAGTAAGCTGCAGCTGAGCAGTATCTGATGCCCCGAACGCATCTGTTGCTCCAGCAGATTCTTAAGTTTTCAATTTGCTAAATTAACTCTGAGTAAAGAAAATCTATATATATAAATAATCGAAGAAACCTAAGGATTTCTGCGGCAAACGATTAAAAAGGTCGTAATAAATGTAAAGCATTTAAAAGCTTAATGTTAGCATAAAAGCCATTTCAAAGGGTTGAATTGTTATGCGGATAATTTAAGTGAACTATTAAATAAAATTATTTCCATGGATGAAGAAAAAATCATGTTCAGTTATCTTCTTGAACAAAAGTTCACAATTTCTATGGAATCATGGGCCATTTTCCTTAGCCAGCCATTGCGATATCTCAATTTCGTGGCGTAAATTTGCTGAGACTGCAGATTATCTGCAGAATGTTCAATCTAAGGCAGCATCTGTCAGGCGGAGACAGCTTGGCCATATGTCCCGGCCATACATCACGTACATACACACGAATTATCCACACCCCTTGGCGAAAGTAAACAAATAGCGCAATTTTCATTTGCTTTATCGCTTAAAGAGAATGGAACGAGAGGGTCCAATCATCCGAGCCCTAATACGTTTAGGCTGCTCATAATCACGCTTCAGCTATTCGAGATGGATTGGTGGAAATCGAAGGGGGCCCCATTGTTCTTATCGCATTATTACATTTCTATTTGCTTTAGGGGGCTATAACTGCTCGAGGTTCATCCTCTGGTCTCTGCTGCTTTTCCCACTGGCTTATTTATAATCGCTATTTGTCTTAGTGTCCCGCCAAACTAATAACTTTGCTGTTGTCCCGCCATCGATTGATTTTCTTTCTCTCCTATTTTCTTTTATCTTCCTTTGCTGCACTTGACGCTTGGTCAGCCGCAGTTAGTCCCTGCACTTGAAAAACAATTTTAATGAATTATTAAAAATTGATTTTTGTGGAATTTAATTCTTAAATTTTAAAAGTGTAGTTTTATCTTTTGTAAAACAATTTATTGCTCTTTTTGCTCAATTTCAAGGAACATTCTTTTCCTATCTTTTATAGATTTAAAAAAATAAATCATTGGTGTGCCCCTAAAATAAATTGCGATTTAAAATCACTTAAAAAGGTGTCAGTGAAACAGTGCCAAATATAACTTACTCTATCAAAATTAACCCATTGAACTTTAAAACTCAAAATACAATGCTGCATAATTTTAAACACTTTTTAATGATTCAAAAATTCTAGTGAATTCTTTGGCACTCCCGCCATATACAATGCTTTAATAAATTTCCTTATTAAGAGAAATATTATCTTACATTTTGTGGTTAATTGGTTTAAGTGTAGTCAAGAATATCTATCTTCCTCTGCTTCGTCGGCAACTCCTTTTGGGATACTTCCTGGGCTTTATCGGGCGGCCACTTCCGCTCCACGTTCACAAATCACACGTCCCGCTGGAGTCCGGTACTCTGGCTTCCGGCTATTTAAATTGACATCCTGCTGCAGGTGTCTGCTTCCTGGGTTCCTGGGTTCCTTTCGCCACCTAACCCCAATTCAATTTGCAAAATCATTAACACATTTAGTCAATAAGCTCTTGTCGCTGCTCTTGAGACGTTGCTTCCCTCTTCGGGGACTATTATTCATTTTTATGTAATTATCTGCTTACCTCAGGGACTGGGAAACTGGGAAACGACATCTTAGAAATAAACAGGCTTCTTTTTGTCTCGTTTCTTTTCCCCTAGTTCTTGTTATAATAACATCAGCGGAGAGTTTGAGATTTTCCGCACACAAAATTGTCTTTAACTGGCATTGGATAAAAGCATCCTGTTGTCCAGGTCCTTGGAATGGCCATGAATTATGGCCGCAACGTGTGAGCTCCTGTAGTTACACTTCGAAGCGGTTTCTTATGGTTCAGTTGGGTCTAAGCGAAAAATAAGTATATAACTTGGGGAAAAAACAGTGGAGCTACGTGATAGGTCGTTATCTATTTAGGTACTTAAAAAATAATTTGGATATAGTTTTCAAGATCACCTACATTTAATCTTTGGACATGTACAAGTATTTGATAAGACTGCCTGAAAATTAATCGGAATATTTATTAATGTTATCATATGCAAGCAAATACATTGCCTATTATTTCTTCAAGCATCAGCTGCCTGAAGTAATAATTTTAAAACATTTATTTAAAGGAAAAGGTTAAATTGAATAAGCTGAGCTTTCTTAAAGTCCATCGCTTATCAAAACACGTATCACGATGTAGTTCTTTTTAGTACCACTGTTCGGGTTTCATCATCAGTAGCAGCTGCAGCATCAAAAAAAGGACGAACCATTTAAGTTTATGTGCCCGAGTGTGTGCCTACGCTCCTCTCGAGCGTGTGTGTGTGTGTGTGTGTGTAAGAGTGTGTGTTAGTTTCATAATGTAACCGGATGTGCCAACACAATGCTCGCACATCCGCTTGCCAGACAACAGGACAACAGCTGTCACACACACATACACAAGTTAAATGCCGCTGCGCTTTTGTTTGCACATCTTGAGGGATCGAAAAGGAGCGGGGGAAGGGACATGGACAGGAGCCGGCCATAAGGATTCCCATTCGCCTTTGTCCTAGGCCATCAGATGACAGCAACGGGCGCATTATTAGAAGCAGCAGAGCATATAATAGGGGCATTTCATAACAAGGAGGCGTGAGTCCACACAAACAAGCCCGAGCTACAGGCTCTGACATAATTATTAACTGCATAGATGTAAGTAAATATGAGGCGACCAAATGGGCAAAGATAACGAGGCCATTGTATGTTTATGCGAGCGAGTGAGTGAGTGCCTCTGAATTAGTGTTGGTGGATGGGAAAACGAAAATGGAAAAGGGAAAAGCGCCCAGAAAGGCGAACGGAAA